ATAGCAAAGTATTTTTTTAAAAACGTGGAAAAGCATCAACACAGCCGCAATTGTATGATAGTGTTAGAATAAGAGTTTGTATAAAGCGCCATCTCTGCTAGTATATATGTACTATGCATACGCGAGCCCCGATGCTGCGCATCAGGCCAGTTCAGTTGATCGCTAGTCCCTTTCTTTGTGATAAGGGACTTGCGCCGGGATTGACGCGGTTTTATTTTCCATCTAGCAACTGCTGTTCACATATGTGTGTGCATGTACGAGCAGCTCATGCGCCATCTTTTCTTCCTTTAATTATATCCTAACGTGCCGAACTGTATGTGTTCTACGGTTTACGTATGCGCAGAAAAGGGGCGACCCAACCTGCCTGCTCTTCGCGCTAAGTGGTCACGTGTGCTGTGTGCGTGAACAACTGTGTCTCGTTGTTTACGCATGCTTGTACATTTCCATTTGTATCTCTTCTTGGAACTAAACAGTTAAACTTACGTAATGACGGCTTTATTTTAGATGAAGATGTGATCGACGCGTATATGCGACTTTTCCAACTCGGTGTGGATATTTGCGGAGAAGATCTCGTTAGAGATTTATCTGTGAGATTAGAAGACGGATTAATTCTATTTGCAAATAAGAAAGAATCGATCGCNGAACGACAACCTTGTTTGGAAAATTGTAAATAAACCAATGAGTGATAGCAAAGGCAGAAAACCAAATATAATTGACTCCCGGTGGGTTCTGAAAAGGAAAGAAGACAACTCTGGAAACATAAAATATAGAGCCATATAGTGATCCGTGGATTTAAAGATAGAAACCAATATGATCTGTAGAAAACTTATGCTCCAGTCTCAAGACTAGCAGTAATTCAAGTCTTACTGGCTGTCATAAGCAAATATAACTTGGAAACATGACAGCTTGATGTAAAGACTGCCTTCTTGAATGGTACATTGAATGACGATATATACATGGAAATACCAGATGGTGTTCCGTGTGCCCAAGAGTTAAGAAAAACCAAAGTTTGCAAGTTGGAAAGATCCCTGTACGGTCTTAAAATTAAACCTAAACGTTGGTATGAGAGGTTTTCAGAGACTGCCACAAAAATAGGACTCCAGGAACACCCAAGTGAGCCCTGTCTTTTCATATGGAGATAAGAAGGCAAAATTTTTATTTTTGATTCTGTATGTGGATGATATGCTGATGGCAAGCAACGATGTCGATCAACTTACAGAAGTGAGTGATAAGCTTAAAGCCGAATTCGAAATGACAGATCTAGGGGAAGCAAATAATTTTCTGGGAATATAAATCGACATAGACAGAAGAAATCAAACCATTCGTTTAACCCAGGACAAATATACGAACAAAATACTGCGGAGGTTTGGTTTCGACAATGCTCGACAGTGCAAGAGACCTATGGTGACGAGACAAGTCATAAATCAGCAACGAAGAGACAGAGAAGAATCTGGAAACGAAAAAGAGCAAAGTGTGAATAGGCCAGAAGATTTCCCATATCAAGAAGCAGTCGGCAGTTTGCTGTAATTAGCAAATACTGTTCGACCTGATATATCTTGTGCAGTGAACGTATTAAGTAGACATCAGATCAATTCCACAGAAGAAGACAGACAAATGGTCAAGAGAGTTTTCCGTTACCTCAATGGTACTAGAAAGAAAGGACTGACTTTTAAAGGAAGCACAGAAATCGTGACGGCTTATTCGGACGCAAGTTTCGCAGATTGCAAAGATTCGCATACGACGAGTGGATACGTCATAAAACTATTTGGCGACTCTGTATCTTGGAGAACGCATAAACAAACTTACGTCTCGTTATCAACCTGCCAAGCTGAATATATAGCTATGAGTGAGGCATGTCAAGAACTCATGGCTCTAAGAAACACTTTGACAGCTGTGCTAAATATCGCACTTTATCCTATGACTGTGTGGTGTGACAATAAAGCAGCCGAAGCCAGCGCCAAGTCCTATGGAGGAACCAAACTTAGACACATGTCATCAGTGCGAGAACATTATGTGAAAGAATGTGCTAAATATGGGTTCATAGAAATCAAGTGGATTGCCTCTAAAGAACAGATTGCCGACATTTTTACTAAAGCTTTACCGATTAAATTGCATGAGAGAATGACTGCAAAATTACTAAATGACTGTTAGGACTACACGACAGTGAATCTGGTTTAATCAATAGAATCTAATCCTGATGGTTTGAATTCTGTTTTAGGTAACAATAATCAGTGAGCAGACTACAAAGACCTGAAGAAAAGCGAGATTGAGGCTGACTCATTGATACATTTTATTTATTCTTTTTATATTACTTATTTCGTATAACCATCCAGAGATAGGCGCTCTATTAAACTAAAGGGAGTGTTAGAATAAGAGTTTGTATAAAGCGCCATCTCTGCTAGTATATATGTACTATGCATACGCGAGCCCCGATGCTGCGCATCAGGCCAGTTCAGTTGATCGCTAGTCCCTAGCCAGTAAAGACTTAATTTGTAACAACAGCTTGTAAAGACGGTATTACGACAGTTTATTTTAAATAATAATAATTCTGATTTCTCTACAAAGTGTTTAGTGCATTTCCCTTCTTGTTATCCTTCCTGGCTTTTTCCCGAATCCTAAGAGCCTCGCGCAGTGGATTTAAAATTCAACAGATAGCAATAGCTTTAAGTATCCGCACTTACGCAATTTGATAGCCCTTATTCACGTATTTTGTGGTTGCGACACTACATCTGCATTGTTTAAAATTGGAAAAGAGAAAATTATTAATGTTTTAGACAAAGACGAAGATCTACGGATTGTGTGTCAAGCGTTTTATAACGACAAAGCATTTTCTAATTACATTAATTGTGTGGGACAAAAAATTATTCAAGCATTATATGGTGGCACACTGCAAGAAGAAATATCTTTAAATGAATTCCGATTCCAGATATTCAAAAAAATTTCTTCGACCAAAAATATAAACATAGCTTTATTTCCACCCACAGAAGGCGCAGCCCCCGAACACTCTTGCAGGATATACTACCAAATAAGAGAGTGGCTTCAAACCAACTCGGAACTCGACGTTGAAAAATGGGGTTGGAATATGACCCAAAACGGACTTCTTCCTGTGACAACACTGCAACCCCTGATACCCGATAAAATATTAAAACAAGTTGCGTGCAAATGTAAAAATAGATGCAGTGGGAGATGTAGCTGTAAAAAAAATGGTATGCACTGCACAACAGTATGCAAATATTGCGAAGGAAAAAACTGTGCAAATATAAAAGAAGCAGTCACATCATTGACTGATGATGAGGAAGTTGTAGAGCAAAGCACACTTGAATCTGAGAACAATGAAAATGCCAGCTTAGTAGAAACAATAATTGACGATGACTCAGATGAGGTATTATTTGCAATATTGACGACGTAACAGATAGCAACAGCGACTACAGTCCAGTTACGAAAATACGAGAAATATAAGTTAAAGTATGTACACGTATGTACGTCAGCCGATAATCATTAAAGCACGTAATAATTTTTTTGTAAAAATGACAAAAATGTTAATAAATAACATTATGCAAAGTCATATGATAATAGAACATGTCTTTATGGCACCTTTGTGTCGCCCAGATGCCTGCAACCGAACGTATGGCCTCCGGTATCATGGGTAAAGTAGTGCAAGGAAAAATTTTTTTTACATGAAATGTTGTTGATTGAAAAATTAATGAGTAGTAGATAGTCATAAAAAAACACTGTAGAAAGTAGCAAAAATTTTTCCAGCTAAAATGACGCACGAGAACAAGTTTGTTGAAAAAAACGCTAATTTGTTACTAACAATTTGTAAAAACAACGTATCCCATTAATTTTTTTTTTTTTAATTTGTATAAAATTAAGTTTTTTCAGATGTAATTAGTTTCGTTATCCTAACGTCAAGACCGACCAAGTAATTTACAATTGTTTATGTGGCAAAATCGTTTTTTTAAAAAAAAGGGTCAAAATTGAGAAAAAAAAAATTTTTTGTGGATATAAAAACTATTATTATACTTAACAACATTCGTCTAAACTTTTTGGTCAATTTTTTTTTTGATTAGGAGAGTTTTTTACATTTTAGAATTGACTACGGTTTTGTGACGTCATTTTTAACTTGACAACCAAAGCCTTGTGCGTGGCTTGACACCTCTACAAAAGCTATTAAATCCTAAAATTTGAAGCAGTTTGGTTGAAAAATGTTGAAGTTATGAGTGATTAAAAATTAAAAATAAAAAAAAAGATTTTAGCGCATTTTTGCACTATAACTTTGCGGAAAAATGGTTTGCGATTATCAATCCAACGCAGATCGATGGATAATTAAATAAGGAACAAATTATCTTTGGCTGTTTTTCAAATTCGACCGCAAGGAAAAAAGTTATAATGAAGAGAATGAAAAAAAACCGAGTCACTTTTCAGAATTTGTTTAATAAAAATTCAAGCACACACTTTGGGTGGACGAAACTGTTATTTCCATTAATAATTTGATATTTCAAGACGATTAAAACAGGTTCCGCGTTATCATCCGATTTTGACCTAATTGACCATTTAATGATGCCTCGCCTACCGGGTTAAAGAGCTTGTTATAATATACACTTACTTTTGTACCTTATACTTTGTCTAGCCAAATTAAAAAAATTGGTTTCGATACGTATTGACATTATTTTTAACGTCTGGCCCTATCGCATCCACGCTAAAACTTAATGTATGATGTAATGTTATTTTCTGATACAATAAATTGTATTGATAATTTTCTTATTCAGATTTGCTAACTCTTTTACCAGAAGAACAGAAAAAACTTATGATCACTAAACTTTTTAATAAAAGGTAAGAGATCACGTCAACAATGAACGCTTCTGTAAGATTCTCAGTAATGCAACATTTTTAACACTCCAAACAACATCCAACATCATTATTCCGTGATAATAGATACTTAAGTGTTTTTTGTTGTTTAACTATAGACAGAACTGTACTACAAAAAAAATTATAAATACCTGGAATCACTGCCCCAATGCATGGCATATATTTTAGCTAAATGGCCACGAAGAGTGCGTCTTGTACGCATTTGTATCCGTCCAATCGGTTCCATGCTAGTGGTTGCTTGAACCAAATTTGTATCACAAGCATTTTTTCTAGCATCCTGAAATGATACCAGAGGATTAAATTATAGAAATTTTGTTATAAAAAAAAAACATTGAGGCTTCCGTACTATAAAATAATACTTGACTCAATTCACTTCGAGGAAAAATAAACAAAAAAATTCAAGAATAAAATTTGTAACTCGAAGAACACACCTCGAGGCAGATAAAATTGTATTAAACTAAAGTATTGAGATTTTTAGCACCGACTCAACATATTCAAATGAAAATTACTGTCTGCAAGTATAAGAAATGCTCATGGGTTGGCTCATATCTTTATTGTTTGACAAAGGACGACCTAAAGCATAATTGTTTCAACACTCTAAAAGAGTTTTAGGAGAAAAGAACAATATTTTTTTTCCGTTACTAAAAATATCTTGATAGCATCGTTAAACTTCCCATCCTACGCGATTTTTCGTCCTCCAAACGATCGTTAATTGAAGTTATAATTCTATAGGCACGTTTTGCGTGAAAACTTTCAACGTAATTCAAAACGGCGACCTCCTGTATGCTAGCCAGGTATCGTGTCAACTCTGTTACGAGCTATTCCGATAAGAAAAAATCTCTTACTTATTGCTATGCTATGTTTTAATACTCGATTTTAATTAAAATATTTATTTACTGTTTATTGACCAATATTTACATTAATTGTGTGGGACAAAAAATTATTCAAGCATTATATGGTGGCACACTGCAAGAAGAAATATCTTTAAATGAATTCCGATTCCAGATATTCAAAAAAATTTCTTCGACCAAAAATATAAACATAGCTTTATTTCCACCCACAGAAGGCGCAGCCCCCGAACAGGAGGCTTGGGCGTTTGGTGTCGTATCTATTGAGGGGCCCCTGTGGGGTACTTCTCATACAAATGATTCTTTGTAATATTTTTTTTATAATCATTTTAATTATACACATGTGTGAACAAAATAGCAATAATACGCGAAAAAGTCATTGGGAAAATCGATATTAAAAAATTTATTAGTTTTCCCGAGGTACCTTGTGTAAAGATGACGGCCCTGCTACGATAAAGCTAACAACAGTGTACTCTCTTCTCTCATCTGCTATTATATACCTATACTTGTGTTAGACTTAAATTTTCATGCTTGTATGTTTATGAATGTACAGCGCATCCGCACTTACAGTACCTGAACAAAACAATTCTCATGTTCGATGTTTTCCTCGCTATTTTCTCAAAATTTAACGTGTTGATCCTATTCTTTTGTTTAAATAATAGATTCTTTATACTTTCAAGTACATGTACCAATTTAATGTGTGGGCCCACAGCTTTTTAATGCGGTACGGTAGTCTATTGAATTTCGGGTTCCGTAAGGTTGCGTGTTAAAATGACGAATTTTCACAAGCGATTTTCTCGAAAATAAATGTGTTGACCTACCTATTTTGTTTTCCTAAAAAAATCTAGCAAACTTTATCTATATAATATCTGAATTTCAGACCTAGCCAGCATTAAATTCAAAATCGCCCAAGGTTCCTTAAACGCTCAGACTGTGACGCTTTGCATGTAGAGCAAACGACGGCATGCCTTGTCAATACGTATTGATGAATATGTTGAATCTACTTACAATAATAAGAGCTCGACTGGTTTGAGTGAAGCTCACATGCACATTTTACAGATTTAAAGTTATATTTATTAGAAACAATAGAGATTGTAACAACACAGAGACAAAACAAATTCGTAACTAATAATTAACTCAATTTTCCTCTTTCAGCAGTAATAGATAATGCCGTTAGTAACTATATTTAATAAGACGCTTCTTATATTTACATTCTTTATCTTACCGTTCGATAGAGATAATTTATCTATATTCACCTTATCAATTTTATATGTGAATATTGTTGATCCTACCGTTTTTTTATTCACTGTACATCGAACCCCTGACTAAAGCGTAACTGCCGAAACAGCTGTCAGCCTTACTTATAGCAAGAAATAAATTGTGAGACAAAGTAAAAGTTTTCAATTATTATTAATAAACCTAATTAATAATAATTTTTTAATTTAAAACGTTTCACTAAAGTCTAAGCGAGAACTCAGTTGAACATTTTTCTACCACTTACGCTAATAACATTGCGAACATCACGCTCGCATCTGTCACATATACTCACACACGCATTTTCAGTCTCATAAATAATACCTACAATTTATGAAACACATATAAAAGTCTAGGAAAAAATATCGTGCAGTACCGCTTTACCTTAAAAAAGGTAGTATTACATACTAATACAATATATGTAGCTTAACTCAAAAAATCACGTCATTGAAGAATAAAAAAAAATTTTTTCTAATGAGACACAATAAAAATGTCATAATTGATCGATAGAAGCCTGTAAGAATGAACCAATAGTGAAAAAAACATGTAAGCTTTTGAAAAATCTAAAAAAAAGTAGTTTACTTACAAACTAAAACTGAAAATAAGTATAATACAAAAATTCATTTATGTATTATATCTGCTACTTTAAAAAGTTTGTAAAGTTAGAAAAAACTATTAAGTTTAATTAATAACTTTTTAATTAATGTAGTTAATATTTAAATCATATTAGTAAATAAACAGTAAATAAATATTTAAATTAAAGAGCTGCCAAGGCAATCAGAGGTGTGCAGACGTGTTTTTCTGGTGCTCCCGTTCTCGCATGTACAAAACCCTGCAAATGCTTCCTGCTGCGGATCCACACGCAGTAGTACTACTCCAGTATTCACAGGTAGGCTCTCAATCGCCAGCAAGGCGTTACTCGCTTCCTGGAACCTAGTGAAACGGTATAATTTTCCGCTCCTCCTCATAAACTCAATTACGACTGCCGAGTTAAATCTCTTGAAGTATCTACTTTGGTTGTTACCACCTTATCGCATCCGGCAACATCCTGCCTCTGAGAACCTACCGTCGACTGTGACATCCAGGCCTACCCCTGAGGAAGCCATTAATTAGTGTTGACGCCATCACTACCTGGGAGAGAAATCTGTATACAGTTAGGCCTCTCTGCCACATAGTCTGCCGCATATCCGCTGCTTTACTAACGCATGGACGAGCACTACCTTTCGAAGGATCGATTGCTCACACTACTTTCGCTACACAAACTACTATCAACGCCCTGGAAACAGCCCCTGCATCTGACTTTCCTGAGTATCAGCATTAAGGGACGAAGGCCTTTTACTCTGGCTCCATAGAGTGACAGCGCCGTGGGACGGAACATAGAATTTTTGGCTCTTTTGAGCAAAGGCACTGAGGGACACGAGCTGCAGTATCCGGCTCCGTTGAGCGACGGAACCGAAGAACAGCATCTACAACACCCAGCTCTTTTGGGCGACACTATCGCAAGAGAAGTACCGCATGCCCTGATTTAGTCTACGCCCAACCATTCTGTCTACCTATTAACTTAAAATAGGCAACAATGCCGACACAATGTACACACGTCAAGGAGGAAAAAATCAACTTAATGCAACAGGTGCTTAAGTTACCAGCACAAACAGTAATATTAAGGATGCCCTCAAAGCTCTGAGAGACAAACAAAAAAAAAGAGGATCGTAACAAAAGTGACAGCCCCCTAATGGACAAAAACTAACGGCCAAGACAAATTAGACAGAGTTTAAAGCCAACTAGATGCTCTATCCACCAATGTATGTAACTTAAAGTCTGATGTCATAAACATACGGAGGTAGTTGTAGAAGAACTGAGTAGCAGAGAAATTTTATGGGATACAAAAAAAGCCGTCGTTTGCGACCATCTAAAAGAGCTTGAAAAATTTAAGGGGGCATGTTGCAGGGGGGAAATCAAAAACAACCTGGTTCTCAGGTGACTTGAAACCAATTTAAAAGAATATAAAGTGGTTATTTATAATCTCGTCCTACAGAAAATCTCACTAAACGTAAACATAGCTGACGTCACTTGCATCTCACTCAGAAATGGTGATATCTTTACTATCAGGCTCGTTACGCAGGAAGAGAAGCATCGAATCCTATCTAAGAAGAATATGTTGGCTGACAGTGCTCTGTCCATCTCTGGTTAACTGACTAAGAGAGAGCGGGAAATAAAGAAAAAACTCACCAACCTTGCTATGGAGAAGAAATCCAAGGGAAGGGAAGTAAAAATCGGCTATCTAAAGATTTGTATTGATGGTATAGGTAAAATATGGAAGGAAGGTCAAGGTCTCATAGACGCTACACACATACAACACAATGGTTTGAATTCGCCCTTTCGTGAAAGACAAGGAGCTTAAAGCGGTGCAACACGTAGAACAGAACACCGCAAGATCTAAAACACTGTATGCAGAGGTTGTAAGTCCCAGATCCACTACAATTAAACCATCAATCTTTCAGTCACTTAACTGGGGACCCCTTCACTGACTGCTGCCTCTACTTAAGCCAACAAAAATTCACATCAGCATATGAGCACCCCTTACACCTCTACAACCAGCTACAGCTTCGTTATATTTTGGATTATCCACGACTTTTCTGATATTTCTGACGTAAAAAACAAGGAAAACATGTTACACTTACGCAATAGTGTTCTTTAAAATATCTTAGAAACCACCTTTTTGTTTTTACCCAGCAGTACTATTCTTAACTGCCCAGCGCAAAAAGTCAAATCCCTGGGCAGAGCAAGAGGCGGCTTATGTACATTTATAAACAATCTACTAGTATCATCTTGAACACCAACGCTAACTAGAAATTTCATAGCAACCTAGTGCAGACCTTAGCGGCAGCTTCGAATCTAGTCTCGAGAACCCACTTCTTTTGTAGAAATAAAACCAAACAACTCTGACGATATAGTTTTCATGAGAGGAGATTTTAATACCCGCTTGGGCCCATAAATCAAATAGATGAAGATCTGCTACGCGACTCATGCTTTATGAGCCCTAGACGCTCTTTCAACATCATTGAAATGAAGCAGGGCCAGCTCCTTAACAAGATGGAGAATCAGGTATTAACATTATGAAACATCAGAAGCAGATTCAACCCTCAGGGTGCTCCTACTTTTATCGACCACAATG